ACACACAAAAGTTCAAGTTACATGTACTGAATGGGTGGAATCTCGCAGTAAGTTTGCCAACTATGCCCCTGTTACTGCCCGGGCGACGAAGGTATCCTGGACATACTGAGTTAAGCATATATGTATGTATTTTCATTGGAGAGGCAAACTCAATATTAACCTAGTCCTTAGGCATAGTCTTCAAATAAGAATTTGTCGTCGTATTCGTATTCATCTGCCTGCGTATTACTGTTTGTACTACTCTTCACTTTCACATTCGCATTTGTCTTCATCTTCGTATGCGTGTTATTTAGTTGTCGTATTCGTCTGGGTCATGGCATTCGTGATCATATTCGTATTCGTCCTACTGTTAGTCTACGTCTTCATCTCCGTATTCGCCTTCGTGCGGGATTCGTAAGATAAGTCAAAAATAAAAATTTCGAAATTTAAAAATTTTTTAAGTTTCGAAATAATGTTTTACCGAAACGGAAAATGTCGAAATCGTATCCTTTCGAAATGGGAAATGTCGAAAAAAATCCAAAACGTCGAAAAAAAGTCGAAAAAGTTGCTTGTTGCATAAAAAAAAAATTAAAATTAAAATGTTCTGAGTAGCTTTTCAAAAGTTCTAGAGTTCCTAAGAAGGAAAAAGAAAGTTATGCAAAATTACGCCGAAATAACTTTTTTTCGAAAAACTGACAAAGGTTAAATTTTTGAAAAAATAAAAATTATTTATGTTTTTCTTTCTTAACCTATAAAAAAATGTGTCATTCCGAATATTGTAAGTTTCCTTACTTTTTATGATCTTTTAAATATGTTAGTTTTTTCAGTATAGTAAGAATTTTTAAATGTTAGTACCAAGAAAATTGATTAAGTTATCCCTTTAATTATCAAACTATTAAATACTAGCTTTTACCCACTTTCAATGTAACAGAAAAGGAAAAAAGCCGCATTGTTCGATCAAAAAATCCGGTTTATTCGATATTCGAAAAATCAAGATTTCAAAAAAACCGCACAGAGATTTCAAAAAACCGGTGGAAACCAGTTTGGGAAAACTGTGTACACCTAATTTTTTATGTCAAAATCCCATTGGTATATTTAATTTAGCTTGCAAAGAATAAATAGATAGACATTTCGGCTTGAATATAAACTTCTTTTTAGATTGTATTTTAATGTAGCATTTTAGGTAGAATTCTACCCAGAGATCGACGAGCCTATTCAAAAATATTTTCGAAATAAAGCTTTCTTAAGCCTCACTAGTTTCACCCACATATTATAATATTTTATTCAACGTGTTATTTAAATTTATTTTTACTTTTTGAAAAAATGGCAACCCTCTAAATATAGTTCTACAATAAAGCATTTTGCCTATCTCGTTTGATACCCACATTAAAATATTTCGTTTAAACTTTTCAATATAATTGATTTGAACTTTTTTAAACAGATAGCAACCGTCTTAAAGTATATTTAGTTATCAATTAATTGACTTTTACTTTTCTAACAGGTGGCAACCCTCTTAAAAATACTTTCGCAGTACATATATGGGTTTGGAACCGCTTTCGTTTGACACCCACATTGCTGTAATATTTTGTTTAACTTGTAAATTAATCGATTTCAACTTCTGAAAGAGGTGGCAATTCTTTTCAAACAAATATTTTATATGTCAAGCCAGGATATAAACTACCTGTATTCAAAATTTAATTGAAATATATCTAGACGTTTTAGCGTGAAAGAGCAACAAACATACTCACTCACAAACTTTCACATTTATAATATTAGTGTATACATAGGATTAGTGGAATTTAAATTAAATAAATCAACCTGTTTAAATAATTTAATGAATGATGTATGTCTAAAACACACACGACATTTTTCTTTTCGAAATTTTTGTTTTCGACAATTTTTTTCTCGGCAATCTTAATTTACTACCTATTTTTCGGTGTTTTTAGTTTCGACGTATCGTACCAGGCCCCCTTCGTGCATGCATTCGTGTTCGTTTGCCTGTTCAAAACTAAGCAAAATGTGAAAAACCTCCCTATTTCGAAACCATAAAAATTGTCGTCTGTGGTTACTATCTCTGTTTTGTAAATTTTGAGCTCTTCAGGGATACCTCAACGGACAAAGTGGTAAAGTCTATTACGCCTTGTTTCTGAACTTACATCTGGAACTAGAAGGTTCTCACTAGAAATTTTTTTCAAATCTCTAAATTTCTATAAAAAGTCATAACCCTTTAATACGATTGTTTTGTTTACTATTCTTCCCTAGATGCCAATAGTTTAAGCGTTGCGGTAAACTTCGCAATCAAAATGATATGTTGCTGCCGGATGAAACTTACGACGGCCACGGAATACAAGCGACTGTAGCAACAGTCACTCAGCAGCCACCGCCTAACAGGGCTTCAACAATAAAAAGCCACACAGACATAATAAAAAGTAAAAGTTCCAAAAATAAAACCAAATCGCTGAGTACCTCGCGCAAATGCAATGACACTCACAATGGCCACGCTGAAGCAGTCAGCTTCAAGGGTAGTAGTAGTTGTGGCAGCAACGAAAGCAAACACAGCGGCAATGGCGACGTCTCATTTCCGTATTCCACTACCAATTTCTTTACAAACATCCTGGACGCTTTGGGTGATGATATATTGCCACAATGCGAAGTATTCACACACCAACACCAACCCCAGTCAAGGGCAAGCGACGCCGAAGCGGCTCAATGTCACAGCCTCAGCGTTAGCATCAGCAGCAGCGATAGCCACAGCGCCAATGGTAGCGACAGTGGCGTACGCGTGCGTTTGACGGCCAATCCGGATGTGATGCGCGTTGTTTGCGATAATTTCCTGCGTCGGCATCGCATACGTCCGGACTTCTTTTGTCAATACCAGCAAGCGATTAGGTGAGTTTCGGATTTCATGCGCTTCAGCTATGCACTAAATAATGCGAAATGCAACAAGAAAAATGCTTAAATTTTGTTTTCTTTTTTATGTTTTTTGTTGCAGCGCTGCTGCATTATTGCAACAATCCAAACCAAAGAATGCGAATACAGCGACTGTTGCATGCCAGCCAACCGTCACTGTTGACACTCATGTAATCGATTTTGTAATCAGTATTGTTATCGATTTTGCTATCGATTTTGCTTGCGATATTTTTTCGATTTTGATATCAATATTTTCATCGATTTCTTTATCGATGTTTTTATCGATTTTGCTAGCGATATTATTATCGCTTTTGTTATCGATATTTTTTGCTTAGTGTGTGCTTTTGTTTTTTTACTTGGATATGCTCTTAACCATACCACGTATTCTACGTTTAAATTTAGCGGCTGTATCTCCGATACAGCCTGCAGGCCAAGACGAAGGCGCTGGACTGTTCCTTTTTTTATCAAATTTTTACATACAAAGTATGCAAATATGCTCATCTGAAGAAAGGGAGTTTAATCACGTTTAAAACGATGCAAATTTTTTAATTATCAAATTCATTTTCAAAATTGTTTGAAATATAAGGTTTTGAAGACCCGAACTTTGACCCCTTATAGCACCTGTAATATAAGTTTGCACAAAAAAAGTTATATACCATTTAAATATTCGAATTCGATTGGCTGGCGGGTGTGTCAGTTCACCTATTTTTTCCATCTTTCTGATTTATGTCTTCTTAGCTTAATCTAAGTAACAAATCGAATTTCATTGAAATCGGATAAAATTTACCATATCCGCCTCCTAGTGTAGTGGGCGTGGCAGCCCGCTAAATTCAACCATTTTTCATATTTATTCATTCCTAGGCTCCTAGTACTCCACATTACTTCTTGCCACATTTTATATGGAGCTCTCATCACCTCATCAGAAACTTGGTGTAGGGTTCAATACTTAATTCCTAGAATCTGGGGCCAGTTTTTGACCTAATTTTATCTTCATTTCTAACACCAAACAACTCAACAAAGTCAACTCGCGCAAGAGTCTACACTATCCTCAGGAATATTCAAAGCACTTTCGATTCGCATTTAGCATTACACAAATTTTCTGTTAATTAATTGTCAAGCATGTTTGCTATGCCATAATATTTACTGGCAAAGAAAAAAAGTAATAACATTAACACGAAACAACAAAAACGTGTTGTTAGAGCATGCGAATTTCAGCACGTTGTTGCAATTAAAATACTCCAACATCACTACTACTGCTGTTCTAAATACAAGCTCCGCACGCGATCGTCTTGCACTTACCTGTGGCAGCTGCAGTAGGCAGCAATGTTGTCGTAGCCGCTAAAGTTGTTGTCGCATTGCATGCTTTCTTGTGCTTTACCAGCGGCAATGTATAAAGGTTTAGCAATTCTGCATTTGCACGCTGTTGCTGTTGCTGCTGTTGCTGCTGCTTCTTTTGCTTTTTCAAATCCAACTCCGCGTCATCGGGCGTTTTTGTCACTTCAACGGCCTTCGTCGCAGTCGTTACAGTGGCTTTAGT